AAGGCATGTATGTTCAGTAGAGATCATTGTGAGAATCCCATGGTGAATTAAACCCTTGTTGGACTTCTTTAAATAACAAATAAAATTTTATGGAATCCTTGACATATTTAGGACTAAAGATGCTATTAGTTGCAAAATATGCTCAAAAATTCAGCAATCGGAACAAAATCAGTTTCAATTAATCTTATTTGAAAGCACCTGCTTTATCAATGTGAGAAATATTTATCTCCAGAGGAACCTCAAATTAGGAGAAAAAACTATACATACACTTATATATATGTGTATGTATATATATATATATATATATATATATATATATATATATATATATATATATATATATATATATATATATATATATATATATATATATTATGTGTGTGTATAAAATCGTAGAGGAAATTCTCATGAGAAAGTCCATGTTCACTCCACTGCTTTATAGTCTGCACTGTCTGTGGCTTTCACTTAGACACACTCTGTCACACACACTACAAAAGAATGAAGCACTGTTTGTGTACTTTCTTTCCCCAGAGGAAGTGTCTCCAAGGTTGCAGAGGGGTTAGCGGAGGCAGAAAGATGGGATCGACACACAGATAAGAAAATGTTGCCTGTGTTTCTTACCTCAGGTTTGAAAAAGGGAATCAGTGAAACGCTCCACAAATTAGAAGAAGTAAGAAAATTAAAATAATTTATGTATGTATACATTATTTGATTTTTCAGTCTTTTTGAGTAACAATTGATTAAAAAATTGCTTGGCTTTTTTATGCTTTTAAAGTAAAAAGAATGATATCATAAAGTAAAACAGATCATGAACCATATGGGTTTTTTTTTTTCAAAGTTTTTTTTTGCCCTTGAAAGCGGTCAGACAGTAGGAGGATCTTGGAGAAGATTCTCATGAGAAGGTTAAACATGTGACAAAGGTCATCAGGCTGGGACGCAGACAGCCTCCAGACGTGGGCTGGACTTCACGCTGCACCATCAGAGCACCACCTGTTTTTTCTAAAGGTTACAGATTTAATTTTGTGCGTCCTCCCTGGTTTTAATCTGGGCTAACGTCAGATGTCTGAGATGCAGATGGAATTAATTTGATTAGTTTCATTTACTGACATAAAAAAAATCTGCAAAAATCTTTGCAGATTTTTAGGGGTATTTTTTTTGGATTAGGCAGATGTTCATTTGATGTTCATTGTTGACATTTTTACAATTGCATGCGCAGAGTGCCTGGTTTGGACCATTGGTGGTTCTGAAAAAAGGAGCGGAACCACACAGGCAGACACTGAAAGTGAATGAGAGAAAATAAAATTATGTTTCCATGCAGTGTAAATGGTTTGAATTGTAAAAATGTTAAGAATATATGTTTGTATCCTAGCCAATGATATTATTATTTCGATACTTTTGGATATTTTAATCTATGATTACTTTAATTTTCTGTCTACACATTGTGTTTTTCTGTTAACCAAAGCGCTTTGACCTTATCCCATCAAAAGATTTATTTTGTGGCGCTGTTCCTGATCAGGCCAAATTGGGACTGAAAAGGGTTCAAGATTTGAATGATTAAGTAATCGTTATGTAAACTCTTTGTCTTTGTGCTTCCGACGTCATAACAATTGCTGATAATACAACTCTGGACTGAAAAGGTTTGATCTGGCGAAGTATTGTGCTGAATGAAAGCATTCCCACAGGCAACAAAAACCCAGAAAAGACTTTAGTTTGTAAATAGGAGTCGGTGTTTCTTTCTCACCAAAATTATGACCAAAATAGTGGGAATCCAGAGTTAACATATCGAATGCTGACTGATTCAGTGAGGTCTGCTTTTTTCAGAATGGAGAATTCTTCAATTAATGTAAAATTACTGAAGAAAAGGGTGACATTTCTGTTTTTCTCTCTTGTTGGAGGAAATGACATATAAATATGTAATAAAAATAAAATTAAAAGCCAAATTTTAAATTGTTATTAAGCTAAAATTAAATAAATTTTAAGATTAAATATCTATGCTGCATGTATGACACGAAAGCATATACATTTTAGCTATCTTTACTTTTAGAGAAATAAAGTTTGAGTTTGCAAAAGTTAAACTAATCAGTTTTATAGGAGAATGATAAATTATTCTAAACCAGTTATTTCAGGTTTCATTTGGTTAGAGTTCACTTCCCAGTTCATACATGGTTCATGTTGATTCTGTAACATCATCTGCATCATTTCTTCATTTTCAGGATCTTTTTCTCCCTCCATCTTTTTTTTTCCTTTCATCTTTATTTTTGGTGACATCAGAGGTTCATAAGTCAGACAGTTTTCAGGTGTCTGCAATCAAAGTTAAATAGCAGAGGTCAGCTGAAATGCAGAATTACATGTGCTGCTGGGATTTTGGTTCAATAATGTGATCAGGTTAACAAAGACTTTTATCTTTTACAAATGTAGATTATGGAGTAAGGCACTTTTAGGCATTTTGTGTATCCCAGAATACAGACTGGCGTGATTCTTACACTTTTCAATGGAGAATTGATTTCAGCTATGAAAGAGGCTTTCAAACTGGTTTTGTCTGAATCTCTTGGCATATTTTTTTAGAAGAGAAGCATCTGAAGGAAGAACCAAAAGCTGTAAGGGATAAAATAGCTTTCTGCACAGAAATCTTCAGCTTGGGCAGCTGACCTTTAACATGGGAAAGGGCTTACTTGTTTGCAGTTTTATCGGTGCTCTGCTGGGGGGAACAGTCCCAGCTGGAGATGGGGTATGTTTTGAGACGGAATCACAAAGTAAACAGAATCAGGATCAGCTCAGAGGACAACAGTCCCAAGACACGCAGGTCCCACAGGACATGCAGACATGCCAATAAACAGACAGTCAAGGGCTGATTGAAATAAGACGAGTCAAATCCCATTATGACATGAAAAAAAACTCAGTCCTTCTGATGAGTTTTTTTGTTGATGGTAGAAGGTGTCAGGGCAGCAATATATTGCAAAATTCATACAATGTTTTTCACAGTCACATAACAGCCACAAGTTTCAATTCATTTTAGGGATTTTTATTTTATTTTTTTTGACAGACCAACACAAATTAGGGTACAACATAAAAAAATATAGAAAACCATAGAAATAGAGCCTCGGCGAAAATTCAATCTGGGAGACTCGACCCAGCTTCTCCACATCACCCAATCACCAGCCCTGCCGCCGCCAACCAGGGCCGGACCGCTGCGCTGCACCAGACAATCTTCGTTCAAGGACGCCTTCAAAAGTTCAAACTACCTTGGATCTACATGCTCTACATGCTTGGATCTACTTTGACCCACCTCCTCCCCATCTCCACCTTCACCCTGACGGACCTCCGCCAGGACCCCTCTGCGCTCCTCCATCTCCAGGCTCTGCTCCACCACCAGTTTTCAGTCCCGGGGGGAAGACGATCCCGAGCTCGCCTGAGCCGACCTCCGACCTCCAGAACACACAGTCTTCTGCTGGGTCCGAGCGCCAAAAATCTTGTACCATTAAATCTTTTAACTGCTATTTTCTTCTCTGTGAGAGTCTCTCCAGATTGAAATGCTTTGAAGGAATTTTTTTACAAATGTGAAAATGTAATATTTAGAACTCTAAATGTTTTCTTCTGTGTATTTTCTGCCAAAGTAGATTTAATTTTCCTTACAAAACTATTTTGGGCCATTTTGTGCTTACACATAAAAGCTGAGGTAAATGCATTGAGGTTTGTGATTTAATGTGATAAAAACATGAAAATATTTTTGCCAAGTTTGAGTCATGGATTGTTGTTGCTCACATTTCTTCCTAAGATTAATCTAAAGTCTTTTCTATTTTCTTAAAAAGTTTATAAAAATAATACTAATAAAATCAAACCACATGAAGAAAAACACATTTTTGTTTTATTTTTTTTCTTCTAATATATAAGACAAATCATAATTTTCTGTTTGTCGTGTTGATGTTTCTTTTTCATAATTCAGATGCATCTGCCCACCTGTGGCTCCGTCACATGCAGATACAGACGTTTGACACGTGACATGTTTACAGAAACTAAACACTTCATCACATTTCTAAACCTCACGGTAGGCATGTGGTGAGTATGGGAGTTTTTAGAAATTTTGGTGTGGCATGAATTGTTCTGCAGCAGCCCGTCAGAAAAAGAGTTGCCTCGGAAACCCGAAACTAGAGGAAGCTGGTCAGCCGAGTCGCCGGTTCCTCCCAGTTTTTTTTTTTTTTTTACCTCCACCATGTTTTTCTGACTCCCTGCTTGAGGGAAACAAAAGAGTTTTGAAAAAGCTGGAACAAAGGAGTGTGCGTTTGTGTGATGTTTACCTGTGCTTCGCTTTGAATGGGCTACATGCTTGTTTTGTGTGTGTGTGTGTGTGTGTGTGTGTGTGTGTGTGTGTGTGTGTGTGTGTGTGTGTGTGTAAAAAACACTGGGTTCCTGTCTTCCTACAGAGGAAGGAAGAAGTGATGAAGACACATAAGAGCAGAGTGACTTCAAGCTGATAAGCCTCATCAGGATGTGTTGGCACGGCTGCTCATAGCAAGACTTTTTGCTCTTTGGTTACAATCACCATAGTCCTCTGATGCTGTTTTGCCTTTTCTTCCTTAGATGTGTATCTATTTTTGTTCTCAAAGTGAAATGCAACTGTAACATCCAACACTGGCCAACAATTGCAAACTGGGTTTGTTGAAAAAGTATCCACACCTCTGGAGAAACACCAGAGTGAAGTTATGCACTCCACCACACACCTCTATAGCCCTCCTCCTTTCCCAATCTCTCCTCCACTTTCTTTAAATCAAATGAAATTGGCATCAAATATTTGTGCTGCAAACATTTTAATTTGTGCCACTATCATTTTAAGATATCAATAAATGTTTTCAGAGGTGAAAGGTCAACCAGCCCAACTTTTACAAAGTCAAAAAAACTTGTGTCAAGATAATACATTTTATTACAATTGACTTTTTAATGATAAAACAACATGTAGAACATCAATTCAAACTAAATTGTCCAATAAACACCCTGAGTCTCTGTTAGGTAAGATCAGTATGCTTTAATAAGATATCAGTGCAGAAACACAAACTTCTTACTGGGTTAAAGTCCCCATATAGTAATAATGATAATATAAGATTATGAAATTTAGCATATTAAAATGTATCTGAATTACCTCACATATATGGTATGACAATAGCAGAAAACAAGTAGTTGGACATGGATCCCAGAGAGAAGAAAAACGATTAAGAAATGGTGGAAGAGGAAGGCTTCATGCCACATCCATTTGTCACTTTTTAGGGAAAACCCTTCAAGGAGCACAGTATGTTGAGTTAAATACAATGCCAATGTCTTGTCTATTTTACATTCCAAAGCATTTGCTTCCCACACTTTAAAAAAAAAATTTTTTTTTTGCATTTCTAATCATAAAACTGCTGTCTTTCTGTTTTCTGAGATCAAATTTTCTCAAATCTTTGTTTCTGGTTGAAATTGTAGGAGCAGAAGCTCATCTACATGGGAGGGGGATTTCTCCTCAAGGGAAACGTTCTAATTTAACTTCTGTTTGGCCAAACCTCTCCACATATAGTAGTGCAGCTCTTTGTTTTGATGTGATTTTAATGTGAAGAACTGCTTGAAGAACAGAATCCATCACAGGGCTTGTTCTTGTTTGATTTTCATTCACCATGCTAGTTTCCTGTCAGTCGTCTCTCTTTGGTCTCCACAAACTTCAACTTAGTGATTAGACAATATTGCACTTTTATTTCCAACAACTAACATCTTAACAAATATTTAGTAAGGTGCTTTTTTTTTTTGTCTTTTTTTTTTTACTGGAAACCTATTTGAGTAATTCAAAAATTCTACGTTCTATACACAATTCTATACATAATTCCAGGAACGGATATGACTTTTTTTCCACTTTGAAAGACAAGGAACATCTTATTTGATTAGAAAGAAAATTGTGTTCTTGCCCTAAATATAAATGGACTCACAGAACAAGATTGTGTGTGGACAAAAATAATTGATTTACTAAGCGGAAAAACTTGAATGTGTTAAAACGATTCTCATGTTTTGTAGAAGTAATTATTTTAGGCGAATGTGTGAAAACACAGAGGAAGGTTAATCTTGCTCTTATTTGGGGGTTGGCCTACATCAGACACAGAATGGTACCACCAATGCTTAAAAATAAAATCATAACACCTGAAGGTTGCATTTATGTTTACATGATGGGGTACTTAGATTTTTTTTTGGTTTATTGTATTTAGTTTTGACCAAACCTGACCACAAACAGGAAGTGTGTTAATTTGAAATGGTGAATATGTGTCTTCCATTTTGTTCCTCAGATGCGTGTGATATAAATGAAATTCACATTAGTAGCATTGAACAGAACATAGTTTTATTTACTCTGAAGTAAGATGAGGTTATTTTTGCAGCATAAAATCTGCAATAACATGTGTGATACTGGCTTATATTTCCCAATTATCATAACATTTGATAATTGGGAAATAAAAGCTTATTAACATCCCAAAGAGCTGTTAATAAGCCCTTTGGGTCTCTTCTGCTCCTTATGAACAACACTAACCTGATAATCTGGCTAGCCTGCAGGTTGCCACTTTACAAATATCTCACTTGAATCTCCAGTCCTTTTGAAAATTTTTAGCTGGTAGCGATAACCGGCCCATGCTAACAACAATAAGGCAACTGTTGTTTCACAAATATTTTGTTGGAGCAGAGTTATCAAAAATATTTTAAAAGTTATTTGTTAATTAGCAACTGTGGAAGCTGAAGGATTTAGTCGACTTTTTGGAGGGAGGAAACTGTGCACTTGAAGGGTGAACTCAATACATAATGTCATGATAAGGCACATTGTATGTGTTCAAATAATACTAATTACAACAACAACAACAACAACAACAACAAAAAAAAACAACAATAAGGAGAACATCAAAAAACTTCTGTGTTGGTCGGTCCAAAACTTGGAAAGTTCTAAAAATGACATACATGGTCAATGAAGCACCATTATTTTATAGAAGTGACTTGAAAACTGTGAAGTTATGTGGCAACTTCACCGTCCTTACAATATTTAAATTGCTACATATCTGAAAAGTGAAACTTAGAAAACACATATTCAACATTTTTACTCTGATCTGTTTTTTTTCCTCTTTTTTGTGTGAAAGTAAGAACAACAACAGTACTGGCCAGCCAACAGATTCAACAGATATTTCAGAATAAAAGAGAGGAAAGAAAACAGGTGAAGGAGGGAAAAGGTGGGGCCCAACACCACAACAAGGAAACGGGACGACAGGAATTGGCCAAAAGAGAGTTCTTACCTAAACAGAATCTTTGGAAAGAGGGGTGACTGAGGACAAAGTACCAGGACACATTAAACATTAAAAACACCATATTCAACATTAGTTCTAATTTTAAATACATAACGTGTATGTGTACAAAGATCAACACTTTAAAAGTCGTCACCACACAAAGACATTAGCTTCGGAAACAGACAATGAGATGCAGAAAAATACAGAAAAAAGGAGAGAAATACGTTTAACTGAAGGCATACTGACATCAAGGTGGAAATGAACTTATGAGGGATAATAATATTCTGTAACATAGCTCTCTGGTGTTGGCAGCCACTCTGGTGAGAATAAAACAGGAACTGCCCTTGTCCAATAGCTGTGAAATATATCAACTCTCTTGTCACAAGCTGCTGCTTTTTTACAACGTTCACTTTTAATGTGAAAAATCTGTTATTTTCTTCTTCCTCTGTCTGGTTTGCACAGCGGTGAGCACAGAAGTCATGGGCTGGCATCAGTGCTCTAAAACTTTGACAGAAACTGTGACTTTTTTTCTACAAGCCGAACCCATAAAACCCTCAAACATTTCTACATGGTTAAAGTGCCTTCCTGATTGGCCATGATGCCCATTTCAGTCCCTCCACACACCCTCTGATTAACCTGAGTAATTGTCAAAAACACCTTTAAATTCTTTTACAATCTCACATTCCTTCTATTCATACCTTTTCCTCATGCAGAAAACTGCTTTTTCCACAATTATATTTGTTCATTCTTTTTCAGTATTTGGAAAACAAAAACTAAAAAGTTCTACTTCTGTATTCCTTTCACACCTATCTGTCATGCAATTGCAAAGTAAGTCTTTTACTTTTGAACTAAGCTGATTGAACACAAAACATCAAACCATAAAAAAAGATCAGTTTTCATAACATTTCAAACCTAAAAAAACAAAACCTTAAAACTTAAATTTAATGCTTTAGGTGAAAATTATTTACTGATCTTTTGTTTTTTCAGTCAAGTGATTTAAAAATATATATTGGAAACTCATAGCAAAAGATGCACAAACAAATTGATTGCTATTGTCCAATTTTAGATTGATTAACTTCGAGTGATTAATAGCTTGGAATAAAATTTAAAAAAGGACATTTATCAGATTAGTAAGTATGCAGCTAACAGGAAAACTCAGTGATGTCAGAAGTTTCTACAAAGAAAACCATATTTTATACAAAGACATGTCGTCTGTTCATACAGGCTGCGACAACAACCATCTGGAACATTTGAATGAATGAACTAACCCGGAGTCGATTCACCAACCCATGAAATAAGAGCTAACTAGCTAGCTAGCTAGCTATGTAATGCAAGCAACCATCATAGCAAACACAAAGTGCCAGAAGCTGTTTTATCATTTTGTCTTAATTTAAAATAAAAACTCAGTTTTGGTATGTTGTCTTTGCTCCCTAATGAATGTCCACAAGCAACGGAAAGTTTATGAACAAAACAAAAGGAAGATAGGAAGATATCTCTGACTTGTAATGGATTTATAGTCATGTGGATTTAATTATTTGAGAATCATGAAATATAAAAACAAATCTGTATTTCTCTGCCCTCCTCAGTAATATGTGCATGTCACTGCTGCTTTTTTGTCTCATGTAAAAACTTGTGCAAATACAATTATTATTTGTAAGCTGAAAGTTTGGTGAATAAAATTGGCACAATAAGAAAAAAATACCCTGTTGTTATTTCGGATGCTATTCTAGATTAACACAAACACAATCAAAATAATCTTATATAAGAGAGAAATGTCTAATATTTAACGTGTATGTAATTTTATCACTATGAGAAACAAACAGAAGAATCTACTAGCTGGCTGAGTAAGAACCCAAAATACACGAGAAGGCTAGTCTTACTACAGCAGTGTTGCATCACTTACATTAAGATATTCAATTTGGTTAATAAAAGTAGAAGGAATCACGTCAGTACAGACCGATGAAGGCTAAAGTAAAAAAATATAAAGTAGATTTAATAGAGGTCTAACGCTGTGACCATTTTGTGTTACGGTGCCTGAACTCGAAGACAATGCAAGCTGGTGAGAAAGGTTAAAGTCTGTCAACAAAAACAACAAAAGAGCACAATGTGTGGTGAGGAGAATATGTTCTTCTCAAAGCTACACGAAGAGAAGGCAGGCCTGGGACTGCAGCTGCAGTTCCAGACATCCTGACAAAACTTTAATACACAACGTAAGTGAGAGTAACATGATATAATCTGTTAAATACCAGCATTGACCTTTTTCTCCTTCCCATGCTGACCCGTTTGGTGTTGGTTGGTTGCTCTTCCACTCAGCCTGCGTCCAGTTTATGCCGCAGTATTTTAAGATGAAAAAAACATGAATGTAGCTTGGGCCTAGAATTATACAGCATGTTTTAGTTTATGCTGAGAACTAGAGGCAGGGCAGGAAGAAGGGTGTTGGGCTGAGTAAAGCAGGATGTGGTCATGGATACTGTGCTCTACAAGTAGCTTCGTCTCAGGGCTCTGAAGTTGGCCCCAACAGTTCAGAACAGGCAGAGAACAGGCAGAAGTCATGGACTGCAGGCTGAGACTCAGAGGTGATAGATAGCCAGGCTTTATGGTGGGTTTGAGTCGGTGAAAAGGGGCAAACTTTAGGTGCTCTGGTCCAGGGCTTGCAGCAGGTCACAGCCCTGGAGGAGGTGGAGGTTGCCCTGCAGTGGGACGTTGACCTCGCAGTCATAGCGGGTCAGCTGTGGCAAGCAGGAGGGCTCAAACGAAGGGCCCAGCAAACGACTCGCTATGCCTGGAAGAGAATATAAACAAAAATGTTGGCAAGGGAAGTCTCAACATCTTGCCGATGCTTTTGGTCACTTCAGATGGAGGTTTCAGGTGGAAACATTAGCAAGAATTGCTTCAAACACAGCAGGAATGTGCCATCAGTTATAAGATCCTGAGATTTAAATTAGGATAAACACAATCTCGTGTGGAAATGCATAATCAACTGTTAATACAAACAGGGTTCTGCAGGTTTCAACTATTTCACCTCTTTTTTGAAGTCAGTATGAATGTCCTGTATCATAAAATATATGAAAGAACAGTGCTTATTTGATTGACCAAGCAGTACTACAGAGTTCATGTAGCATAGTACATTTATACCTGAAGACATCAGGTTATATTCCATGTTGCTGCAGCTCTTTCTGGAAAAGGGTTTTTCGTTTGGTCCACTATTTCCGTCCCCTGGATACCGTGACGTCCTGTGTTGTTGCAGCGAGGCGGGGAACGGGGGTCCGATGCCTGGAATCATCCATCCCATCATCGCCGACTCTGAAAAGAGACACAAGTTAACAGTAAGACTCGTAAATGTTTGGAACAACCAGGTGAGTGAAAAAACAAACACAGAAAGATACCTGTGAGTGACCCTGCACTAAGGGAGCGGTCCATGCAGCCATAGCCCCTCATCTTCTTCCTTATGGCATCCGTCAGCTTTCTTTCGCCCTGAAAAGCAAAAAGTGCAGTGAGGCCATCCATCCTTCTAATGATCAAACAAAAATGTTAAATGTACAAGCTGCTCAAATCTTTTCAGCTCTTAAAGACATGCACAGACCTGGAGCAAAAAAATAAAAGTTTGTAGTCGATATCCTAGTTTTAGCTCTCAAAATCAGGATTTTTGTAAAAGGAGCAATAGTAAAAGATGGTCATTTGTACTTCAATGATTTTTAATTGAATGTAAAAAACAGAATTTCCCACTTGTCTGTACTTAAATTGGCCAGGTATAGGCCAGGGGCTGATCAACTAGGGTAACAGAGGGTGACAGTTGATACCTGGGCAGAGAGCCTTGCCATCCCTGTTCCCACCCCAGCTGGCACCTATGAATTCAACAAATACTTATGGCAAATTGGTCATTAAGCGCATGAATCTCCTTTTCCTGACAACATTGAAAGCTTCAAATGTAAGAGTTCATAGTTCACAAATTTCCTCATTTCCCACAATCCACATGGCTTTTCGGCTCTTAGCCATGTTTCCAGACAGCAGCAGTCATACTATGGCTCCTGCGTCTGACTCTCAACATCATCAACTCGTTGCATATACAGTGAACCCTCGTTTTTCGTGGGGGTTGCATTCCAAAAAGAACCCGTGATAGGCGAAATCCGTGAAGAAGTAAGCTTTATTTTTTATTTTTTACAATTATTATAAATACATTGAAACCGAACAGCTAAACCCAAGCATTTGTTTAACTAATAAAAGTACTGTATAAACGATCTTTATTTTTATTTTTACAAATAACTACTGTACTGTAAAATCATTTTAATCATCAATACCGAACTGAAGGCTTCAAGCTGCGGAGATCAGCACCGCCCCACCGCGACCCGAGTCATTGGATTATAACGGGAGAAAATGAAAAATAATTATGAAAAAAATATACAAAGTACAGTAGGACAGATAATGACTCATGTATTTCTGACTGAGCCGCTGCATCCTTTGTAACATGTTTTTTTCTTCTAAGCTCTGCGGTGCAGGTGTGTTTTTCAAGAGAAGAACATAGTTAGAGGTACCTATTGTCGCTTTTTTTTTCTTCTGGACAAAAAGATTCTGATAAACTGACATGTCGCCATCGATTATGTTTGAGTAGCATGTCCAAAAGTTTAACTTTAGCATCTTCCTCTGCCTTTTGGCATATTAATCCGCAACGTTGTTGACACACAGGTAGACATGAAACGGAGAGACTGTTTAGCCAATCAGGATGCAGAATATAATGCACTGTGGAAAAAAAAAGAAAAAAAAACTGTACAAAAAATCCACAAAGCAGTGAAACCGCGAAAGGTGAACCACGCTATAGCAAGGATTCACTGTAAAACTGTTTGATGTGAACATTGTCTCCCACAGTTTAATCTACACACTGAATCCATGTAAAAATGGGCCTTGAATAATGACCACTCAGAGCATCTAAAAAAGGCTCTGAAAGCTGGCAGTTATAGTTGTTGAAGAAAAAGTGATTGGATAAAATCAAAAATTGGCCATTAAACTGATGAGAGCATTAGTCTATAGGGAAAACTCACCAGCGCCATCTGGTTGAAAGAACGTTTGATGCTGTTCTTCATGGCCACACTTGCTGGATCCAGGTCTTTGTAGGCTTCCACAAAATTATCAATGGACCTTTACAAACCAATAAATAGAAATATTGATGAACAATTACAGAGGTTTCTTCTTTATTATGTAGATTTCCTTCAATTGAGGTCAGCTGGCAAACTATAATAAGCTGACGATCTAATAAGCATAGGTCTCTGAAATTAAGTATGGTAATTGAGACATATCATCTAAAAATTTAATGGAACAAAAACAAAATCTTTATGACACTTAAATCCAATTTTCATAACATTTTGGAACACGGTGTAAACCCCTTAAAGCTGTCGTTAGTAACTTTTACAAAAATATGATTTTGTTTTTTCCCCAAAGAGTTTTTAGCGGCGCTAATGGCTCGTGGTTTTTGACAGTAGGCTGACAGGCCCAGTGGCAAAGGTCGCTGGGCCTGGGAGTCGAACCCGCGACGTCCACGGCGAGGACTGAGGCCTCCAAATATGGGGCGTGATAACCCCTTGCGCCACCAAAGCAAGCCCCACAAAAATATGATTTTACCATATTTGTGAAAACTGTCACCTTGTTGTGACAGTTTAATGTGAGTAATTTGTGAAAACATCAATCTCTTCCACCTCCTCTGTGAGCTCCTACTGTCATCTCCAGAAACACAGCTCCCCACCAAAAACAAGCAATCAAAGCCAGTAGGAGGAGCTTCATCTGGTCAATCAACCCCATATATGCTGCTGTCACTGTAGAAACAACTCTCTGTTCCAGGAAAACATGAGTTGCTATGCTAACTAGCCTTAATATGCTAACTAGCCAGGCTATGTTGTGGAAAGCCAGCTGCAGAGGCAGGGTTTTGAGCAAGAGCATGATTGGCAGTGCTAAGACCCGCCTCCTGGCTCTGACTGGCCTTTTCTAACCATGTGTTGTCTTTCTGCACAGAGAGAAGCTAAGATTTTTCACAGATTACCCATCTTATACTGTCACAACAAGAAGATAACTAAAAAATATCTAAAAAACATTTTTTTAATGAAAGTTAAACATTGCGGCTTTAATGAAGGGTGCTCTGATGCAACCTCACCTCTGTTTGTGTACTTGGTGTGATATGTTCTGCTGGCAGGACGGCTGCTCTTCGCCCAATATGTTGTCAATCAGACAGGCCTTCGGCAGATGTTGCTGCTGTTGATAGGTTATTATTGGGTCTGGAGGCCACTGCATGGAAGACAGCGGTGTGCCAGCCAGGCCTCGGAAAGGGAGGCTCCGTATGGGGGGCATCATGCATGGCCTTTGTCGCGTTTCCATGGCACCTCTCCTCCCACCCGTGGCCCAGGATGCTTGCGGTTGGTAGCGGTTCTGAGGCTGAGGGGAGGCAGTGAGAGGTTGGAAGAGGCTGGCTACATTATTGCAGCTCTGGTGGATGCTAAGGTTGCTCAGGCTCCCTAGAGAGCCCGTTTGAGCCGCTTCCAGGGGCTCCGTCTCCGGAATGATTGGATTGAGTTGGAAGTCCTCTCCGTCCATTGGGATGTAAGGGGCCAGAGTCTCCAAATCCAAGTCACTCAAGTCCTCCTGCAAAAGAAGAAACAAACAAAATAATCAACACGAACAGTAACGGCGGAAGGCAACAGCTGTCAGCTCAACTAAAACATCAACAGCAAAAAATGACATGTTAATACAAATACAAACTGATACAGAAAATATTTTGATTAAGGAAATCCCATAACAATTTGACAGTGAGCAAACTGCATTAAGTAGCAATGGATTACTTCAAATTGCATGAGTTTGAGTTAGTAGAGTTTGCTAATTATTAGTGGATTAAGAACTTCATTTTACAAGATGTTGAGCCAGAAAATTTACTGACATTAAATCTCTGCAGCATTTCTAGTCAAAGTCTGCCAGGATGACTTTGTCTGGTGTCTGACATCCTGTTCTGCTCTTGAAGTAAAACAGAAAATAGCTCCTGAACAAACTAATTCCTGGTGCTTAGGGTTCTTATCAGACAAAGTTGAGTAATAAAGCTGAGATAAGTTGACAGAAGATTCTACTGGTTTTATATTGTTCATCTGGCAGAATTTGGAAGTGCATTAAGATAAAAAAAAGAAATGATTTAAGAATAATTTTGCTGTTACATTTATGTGTAGCACAGGTTTATTTAGATCTCATCTTTATGTGGAGTATGTAATAGAAAGATGGTAAACCCCAACAGTAATGTCATCTTATTGAGCTAATGCTGTAACAGTATCCATGCATGGGGAAATAGAATAGTAGTAAATATTGTCACATATTTACATGTCTTTACTGTACTGATGGGGCAGATAAGGAATAGCTAAAAAAAGTCAGTAATGAAGGATTTTTGGATTTTAGTTATTCACAGGTGACTGTTGTCCCAAACCGTCAAGAATATCTGGGCTCTGCTGTATTCATGTTTTACAAGGTTTACCTTCAGTAAAATCTATCTATAACTCTGTCCTTTAAAGCATCTTAAAACATTCTCAACTTAGAACAAACGTTTCCCATTTTTGTCATTTGGACCATTTACATATTCTTTAGATTTATTTTTAACAACAAAATGGCTCAGCGGGAGAGGAAAAAGCTGCTAATTATGCTAAAGTTAGCATCTGCTTTGCAGCCTCACACCTAACTAACTGCCTACAGATAAACACCTCAAAAACGTTTGAATTATTTCTGGATCCTAAATCAATCAGTGATCAGAGTCCTATAGCCATACATGGCTGCTCCATCAAACATGTCACATCTTTTAAATATTTAAGTTTGTATATAGATGGCGATCTGAGCTGAGTGACAAATGTGTATGCAAAGGTTCACCAGCATCTCATTTTCTTATACGACTTCGATTGTGTGGCGTTTCTAAAATGATGATGTTGATCTTTTATAGGGCAACCGTTGAGTCTATTCTTAGAGATGGCATCACTGGATGGTCTGGAAATCTTACTGTTAAATTATGGACTCGAGTTCAAAGTCTGGTGAAGATGGCAAAGCAAGATTATCAACACTATCTTCTCCACAGCACCTGTTTGAATAGGCTACCGTCAGGCAAGCACATCTTGTCCCATCAGACAAGATGTGACCTATCTTGTCTGATGGGTCACATGTGCTCGCATCAGAATATGTTCTTATGAACTCTGGGAGAAGGTTCAGGGTTCCCCTGTGCAAATATGACCGTCGGAAACATTCATCTGTACCACTATCCATTAACGTGATAAACGGCAGACTAACAGAGCCTGGACAGAGTAACGGGAGGTCCAGACGATGATCAAGAGTAGTATGCAGAGGATGTATTGTATGTGAATGGAAATAGCTGTGGGGATGTACTGCCAATCAGACATTTGTGTTTTATGTATTTTTGTTTTGTTTTTATGTATATATACATGGTTACTGTCTTTTTTCATGGACTTTAATTGTTGTATTGCAGATTTTTCCTTGCTTCCAAGGAAAATTTCTCCTATGGGAGACTAATAAAATCAACTCATCTATTTTTCATTTTCTTAATTGTAAGCTAAATTTGATTATTGATAGTTAAAATTCTCAACTAGTTAATTGCACACCAACAGAGATTTCTAAAATGTTTTTAAAAGTGTCTTGAATACTTTCTAGCATTACAACACAGAAATGGAATAATTCTGCCTTGACGTCTGTAGTTAAACCCTGAAGTGGATCTTTGGTTCCTGCTGGATATGATGAGATGTACCTCTGTATGTGCAGTGCTGTCGTTTCCCTCAGCCTCCAGAGCAAACAGCTTCTCAGTGAGCTCCACCCTCAGGTCACTCTCCACTGAGCTGTAGTAGTCACCTGGGCTGCTGGGCTGCAGACGGAAAACGGCAAAATGAGACGAGTGGACAAGCCGGAAGAATGGACAAAGAGGTAAAAGACATGAGAGAAAAGAAGGAGCAGAAGATTTGTCATGACAAAGACTCCATTGAAAGCTAACGGCCTGATCCATCTAAACTTCCACCCCCAATATTCTCACACACTTTGTCTGCTTTGACCAATCTCACTGAACACAGACAGAATGAACCAGGACATAAACTCTATCAACCAGTGACGGCCTAATTAAACCATTCAACAGAACAATGCGGCTTCTCAACCTTTCTCCTGATCCTACTCCTCCTCACCGTGGAGCAGCTGCTGAGGCTCGGTGTGGTGCTGCCCGGTGGAGGTTTCTGTTGCACGGTGAACGCCCTGGCTCCGTTAGGTGCGTCCCCAGGAGCTAGAGCCAGGGTCTGAGCTGTAGCCACAGAAGCCAGCTTTTGGCTCTCGATTGTCCAACACGGAGATCCAGGAAGGGGGATGGGTGAAGAAGACACTGAGGTCAAAGGTGCCGGCTGCTGGGACTCCTCAAACTCAGTGCAATCTAAGGCGAAGAGTCAAAAACAAAAGTCAAACAAACAGAAGTGTCTCTTTCAAGAGCAAAAACATCACAAAAGATTTCCAGAACATTTTTAGAGGTCCAAACTGACCGAAATCGAGGGAGATGATGGTGTCTCCAGGAGTCGGAGCCAGCTGAACCAAATCTTCCGGCTCTGTCTTGAACTTCTTGTAGAGGGAAGCTCCTGATAACGGTGGCTCGCTGGCTCCTTCAGTGGTGAAGAAGCTGCTCATGTTTGGTGGCTTGAACAGCGCCTCCATCTGCTCCAAGGAGAAAATGACCGACTTCTCCTCCACGTCACTGCACCATGTGAAAACAAATAGTGAGCTTCTAGGAGTCAGAGAACAACAAGCTCTTCCAGGCATTTTGCTCAGAAAGTCTTCACGACCTTAGGACGTAGTTGATGCACACGATGCACTGAGGCTGAGAGTTGCGGCTGTTGTAAATGACAGTTCCCCGAGTTTCCACCCAGATGTAGCCACCATTCTTGGCCAGCATACGGTACTGACCGCTCACAGCCTGACCCTTGCTGCACACTGCCAAGGAAAAAGTGGAAATATATAGTTATGAGCGACTCATGTTCAACGCCACAACTGATTTATATTCAGCTACAGAACTGCAGCTCCAAATAAATTGTTTGAAAAATCTTGTCAAAGATTTCAGACTGGATTTAGATCAGGCCAGTTCTCAGCTACGTTTCAATCTAAACTGTTCCCTGTAGCTCTGCCTGGATGTTAGGTCCTTCTCTTCCCAGAAGATGAAGCTCTGCCCTAGAATAAACGTTTTAGAAGACTAACAAGTTTTCCTACCATTTTGATGCATTTATCTCCATTTATCTTCCTCTAAGCTCTAATCATCTTCTCTGTTCTGGCTGAAAAAAGTCCCCAGGTCTTTTTTTATGATGAGGATGGTGTGGTCATGGTGACGTTTAGTGTTTTCTGTCACATTGACCACAGATTGTATTTGGATTTTCTCTGACCAGAGCAACATTTTGATTCAAATTATTAACTTCAGCAAATGCCTGTTTATCAGCTATCAGCTGGAATCATCTGGCCTGAAGGAAATGCCTCAGGTCTGCAGCACCTTCAGGACCATGGCTGGGGGACTTGGTTCAGACAAATTCTTCCTGCTTTAACTGTGGTACCTATTTCTATTTTTAAAAGTTGGAATAAAATAAAATAAATGGATGAAAAAATAAAAAATCAGACACATTCTACTTTGGAAAAACTGGACTTCTGTTTCTGGGTTTAAGGAAACTACTTTAAAAATTTAAACTGACTCAAAATTATGACTTTGCCCAATCGTTTTATTCAAAAGCATCTCACAAGCATCAGTTGCAAAGAGTCCCAGATCACCAAACGCGTGTTAGCATGACAAAACTAGATGTTTGACTTTAAGTTGAGAACGGGATCTGCTGGCTTCAGTCCAGGGTTCAGTTCTGGCGTGGGAAAGGAGCATGACTGGTCAAAAGACGTACATTAGGCCACTGACACTGTGTGTGTGTGTGTGTGTGTGTGTGTGTGTGTGTGTGTGTGTGTGTGTGTGTGTGTGTGTGGTGTGTGTGTGTGTGTGTGTGTGTGGTGTGTGTGTGTTTTGTGTGTGTGTGTGTGTGTGTGTGTGGTGTGTGTGTGTGTGGCTGTGTGTGTGTGTGGCTGTGTGTGTGTGTGTGTGTGGCTGTGTGTGTGTGTATGGCTGTGTGTGTGTGTGTGTGTGGTGTGTGTGTGTGTGTGGTGTGTGTTGTGTGTGTGTGTGTGTGTGTGTGTGTGTGTGTGTGTGTGGTGTGTGGCTGTGGTGTGTGTGTGGCTGTGTGTGTGTGTGTGTGTGTGTGTGTGTATGGCTGTGGGTGTGTGTGTGTGTGGCTGTGTGTGTGTGTGTGTGTGTGTGTGGCTGTGTGTGTGGGTGTGTGTGTGTGTGTCTGAATGACTCCCTGAGGACGTTTAGGCCTGCGCTGCATGTGCGGCAGGGAACACTATTCCATGTGCTGATCAACAGGCTGCTCACGTTGGCCAAGTGAGCAGAGTCATGCTAACAGAGAGCACTTTTAATCTGCTTAGCTTCCAGCCAGCTGATGTGTGGAGACCTGTTGGAGCTGAACTACATCATAAGCAGTAAAATCACTGATTAGATATTACTCAAGCATAAATCTGTTGGTTGTCCTGAGAACTCATGCATTTTTCTTCACATTTTCATATTTATGTTTTGCAAATGTTTCTGGCTTAAAAGCTGGATTTAAAGGGCCCACATGGTTCCCACAAAACTGGCCTCATTCTGCCCCGGATTTAAGAATCCATCCATGCAGGATTTATCAGATGAGATGACAAATTCTTGGCTATTTTAATGTTGATATAAAAATGACATTAAAACTGCTAACAAATCTTTATAAAACAAATATTTTTAGAAGAATTTAGGAATATTGATAAAATATTTTATACAAAAAAACCCAAAGAAAATATGATGAGAAAAGATGGAGAAAAATAATTATCTTCAAATATGTTTATTTGAGAAAGATTTGACTAAAAAAATATAAACTGGAGGTTTCCAGTGAGTTCGGCTTGACAAATGTTTCTTTTTGAGAAGTTTTTTCATTTCTTTAACTTCTTTCATTAATTTCTTTGATACAATTTCTTATCTTTTCTGGTTTTCTATTCAGCAGAACAAACTCCATAAATAAATACATAAATAAATAAAATAAAGAACAGCAAAAATATTGTTTGTCCACTTACTAATTTTTTCATCTTTGAAAGTGTTTCTCAAACCTTTTCAGGCCGAGGACCACTTAACCCATTTGACAAACAATCGTGGACCACCTACCCTGAAATTACCCTAGCGAAAACACCGATATGTTTTTTCTCATAATATTAGTTTATTTTTCATAATCGCATCCAAAACATATTTCCCCTCTCTTTTGGTGAAAACGTTCTTTGCTATAAAATTTAAAGCTTCATATGAAAATGTTTCTTAACTTCATCAGAAAACAAATGGTAGATTTTGTTCAGAAGGACTTATGATATATATATATTGCTAGATAGATAAAGAGAGAGAGACAGAAAGAAAGAGAGGCAGAGATGTTTATGACCAGAAACACACATATAGTGATCAGGTATACAACCTGCCAGCTTCTCACAACAAACTCTCAGTTTGGCCAATCTGCTGAACCCTCTCCAGGCAGGTGTTGCAGATTTGCAACAACTTAGCCAGTCTTTGCAAGTAATTTGAGCCTGAGAGGGTTCAGCAGATTGGCCAAATGACAAGATGACATTTCACTTTCTAAAAATGATTCATTATATACACGCAGTATAATAAAGGATACTATTTAGGATATCACTGAGCTTTTATATCTCTTTATAAGTTTGATGTGACATTTTTAAGGAAAACAATTTGCTCTCAGGTGCTTTTCTAATTCATTCTTAATTATTTTGTGGTAAAGAAATTGTAACATTTTTGGATTCCTTATATGTTTGCTCAAAATGATACAGCTTTGAAAAAAATGTGAAAATAGATGCTTTAAAACATCTATTAAAGCACCTTAGAAGATGGTGCTAAGAGATTTGTCATCTCTTATTTGTTATTACATGCCAACCACCACCACATGATATCATCCCAGCCAGTGTCCCTCTAACTTGCTTAGGGTATAATAAACATGGACTAGGCTATCATAATATTCTAGTTACCACAGCTATATTAGCAGCTACTTACTGCTTACTACTGAATTTAAGAATATGTGAACAGCCAGGAATCTCTAGCTTTCAAATGGATCTAGTGAAGTCTCAGACCAGCTGACTTTCTAACAACTTTTAGAGATTTCTGAAGATTGTAAAACTTACATTTTTAGCCCCAAAGAAGAAAAAACAAAGACTTTCTAATGAAAGCAATTAGTTTGAACATGCGTGACTTACAGTTATGGTGGCTCTTGGTGATGCTGTCTGAGTCAAGGGCGTGGTAGAACTCATAGACCGATCGACCCAGCAGGTCCTCGGGAGTGTAACCCATCAACTCTGTCACCCTGCAACACACAGACACGTTTAATCAGTCTCACATGTAATAATACTGCACCACATTGTGCTCCTCTGCACTTCAAAAGGAATCACACATGATTTCAAAATCAAACAGAATGGTGAAATATTATTCCTAAAAACAAGAATCATTCACATTCTCACCCTAAGAACAATTAATATCTCTGTCACTCTCACCACACGTTCATCTCCTTAATGAGGACTCCACCAGCAGCTCTGGTTGCTGGTGGTCCCCAACCCCCGGGCCGTGCCCGGTACCAGTCTGAGGACCAACTGGTACAGCGCCTTGCAAGAAATAATAAAACATTTCTGTTTTATGTATCATTTCAGTCTGGAGGATCTTTTATTTTGAAAATCCTTTAACGGATTTTCTAGGTTAGGTCTTGTGTGCCAACATTGAGCCACAAGCAGAAAAATGAGTCAGAAACAGATCAAATGTCTTCGGAAAGTTTCTTTGTGAAGGGGAAAAGGCCCAGAGAAGAGACAGGAGAATGGCTTTTTCCCTGACCAGTAGGTGATTCCCACATTCCAAGCCCGCTCTGCATGATATGGTGACCGGCTCGCTATGAAGCCTTCAAACTGCTTCACCACATAGAGACCAAGCACCCTGTGCATAAGCAACACTTCAGGACTTCAGGTATCATTGTCTCTCATCACTTCCAGATGGGAGAAGCAAGCTCAGGGCTCCAATTAGTCATTATCGCGAGTTAAAACTTTCAACAAAGTAAAATGTTTGTTTTTGTGGCGCACCTGTATCTCATTTTGAAGGGATGTTAAACGTTACCATAGTGAGCAGAGTCAGAGAGCTAGAGCTAGTGAGTTTTAGGTCTGGTTCACACTGGCATGATTTAATCCGATTTTCCAAACTTCGGTGACCCCACATACAAGCCGATAAAGTCCAACAGGTTTGGTCAGTTCGTGTGTCCAGCCACATGGCAGGAGCAATACACCAGGCACGAACCGATTCCACTCACAAACATCCTGATTCCAGATGAAAATCCAATAAAACCCCAACATACCATCCATGAATTTAGAATACTCAAACACGAATGACGACATAGAAGCAGTGGTGATAGTTTGTGGATTTATTTTAAGCAATAAAAGACATAACAAAAAGAAAAGTGTTATGTTTGGTAGGTAGAATGAGGTAGAAGCTCAGTAAACAAAGAACTCTTAACAGCTTTTATTCATTACTCGCTCAGTAATACAGTAACATTAGCTTTCCGCAATCTTATATCTTCTTCTTCGCTCCCTCTCTTTCTACTCTCGATCCTATTTTCATACACCACCAAGTGGTAGACAGAACATCCCCCCTTACTTGAAGATTGCATGTACCCATTTAACAAATGACTGAACATCAACTTTATTTAACGGTTTGTATGTCACAAAGATAACCTTAGTTATAATCAAGGAAGTGGTAAATTAAGTACACAAAACCAAACAAATATATTCAGCAACCCTGTACTTTTAAATTCTAAAACTTGAAGTCACTATGGAATAGAATTACCAAATGTAACTATTGTACAAATAAAATCCAGCTGTTTGTAACCAGTTTGTACCAAGAGAATTAGTTCACCTGAACCCTAAACATGTAACAAAATTATTGATGTGTTTACATTTTAATATTTTCTTTTAACCTGGTTGAAAGTCCTTGAACCACGCAGGTCGAGCAGCAGTTCTAACACTTTTCTTTTGAACCACAGGGTCATGCTTTTCTGTTTTTGGTGTTTTACATGGAATACCTGCAGAATAACGTGAAAATCTGGCAGCATTCCACCTTTTATTGTCACTGAGTACATAAGTACTTCCTCCAATCTGCTTTTCAACAGACAGCGGTGGAGTAAGACTTGATGAGCCTTTCCGAACACGGTCAGGCCTTTTCACCCTCACCAAGTCTCCTGGTTTGAATGTTGGTGTCTTTGCTCCACGGCGTTTGTCAGTATACTGTTTAGACTTCTCTTGTTTCTGTTTAACTGTTTCTTGGACTGTTGTGCATTTTCTGCTTTTCTCTGGATTTGGAAAGATGTTCACTTTTGTTTTCATCCTCCTGTTGTGCAGTAGTTCTGATGGAGATACTCCAGTTGTGTTATGTGGTGTTGCTCTGTAGTTTTGTAGGAAATCAGTCACTGTAGTTTTCCAGTCTTTCTGCATGTGTTCAGCAGTTAGGATTGTCTCCTTAAGAACTCTATTCCATCTTTCGATAGCACCATTACTCTGTGGATGGTACACACTTGTACGCACATGAGATATTCCCCTTTCTCTAGGAACATCTGCAGAAGAGGTGGAAAGAAACTGCAGCCCATTATCAGTGACTATGTAGTCAAGATTCTCCTCTCTGCTACTAATATTATCACAGTAATGTGATAACATTAGCAGTTACAGTGTGAGAAAATGCCACCTCTGGCCATTTACTGTAATATTCCACTAATGTTATAGCGAACCTACATGAAGAAGCAGCAGTTTCAAAGGGACCCACGACGTCCAGAGCCACTTTCTCCCACGATCTGTTCGGCAGTGCAATGGGTTGGAGAGGAGCAGGAGCAGTTTGAGCAGATTTGTCATTCATTTGCCAGGTAGTACATGAAGAAATAACAGACTAAACCATTTTGTCCATCTGAGGCCACCAGTAAAGATCACGTAGTCTCTGTTTTGTGCGAACAACACCTTGATGTGTTTCATGTGCCAGATGAATGACAGTGGCACGTAAAGCAACAGGAACATTGTATCAATGTTCACCACTCGTGATCAGATCCTGAGATGCAGAAAGTTCATTCCTGATGTGGAAGTATGGCATTAAGACCGGGTCCACAGCCTTCTTGCACTTTGGCCAGCCCTTCTCTATCTGTCCACGAAGGAGTGTGAGTTCATGGCACTGAGAGGAAGCAGAAATGAACTCATCAACAGACAGAGCTGACACAATGGATGCAACCATGTCAGGTTCATCTACAGGAGTAGAGTCCATAGGGAGTGGCAACCGTGACAAACAGTCTGCAGCCTGGTTTTGTGATCCAGGCCTGTATTCCAAATCATAGGTGAAGCACAGTAAACGTGCAGACCAGCGTGCAACTCTCATTCCAGCACGCCCAATGCCTTTGGTAGCGAGTAGTGTTGTCAGTGCCTGATGATCAGTTCTTAGTGTGAAATGTCGGCCCCAAAGGTAAGACCTTCATTTTTCCACAGCCCACCCACAAGCAAGAGCCTCCTTTTCCACTGTAGAGTACTTTCGTTCAGTAGGGTTCAGAGTTCGAGACGCAAATGCCACAGTGCGTTCAGTATTATCTGGGTGTATTTGGGTCAACACACCACCCAGTCCGTAGTCTGACGCGTCTGTGGTGACAATGGTTGGTAGAGATGGGTCAAAAAGAGCAAGAACAGGACTGTTCAGTAAAAGCTCTTTTAGTTCCTTAAAGCTTTGATCAGCTCCTTCAGTCCATATGAAACCAGAGTCAACAGTTTCTCTCAGTACAGCCCGCATTGGTTCCACTACTGTGGCAAAATTGAAAAGGAATTTACTGTACCAGGAAATTAAACCCAGGAAGGAGCGCAGAGATGGTAGATCATGTGGTGGTGGGGCATCACGGACAGCTGCACTATGGTCCGGATCAGGAAGAATGCCGTCTTTGGAAATGACGTGGCCGAGAAATCTGAGTCTGGACTGTCTAAATGTACATTTTTACATGTTCAGTGTCAAACCTGCATTTGTAAGATGCTGGAGCACAGCACGCAGGCGTCTGTCACGTTCCTCGAGAGAAGATCCTGAAACAATTACATCATCCAAGTAATTGTGAACAGCACAGAGCCCTTTAAGCACAGTTTCCATCATTTTTGGAAAGCGGATGGAGCAGAGGCCAACCCGTAGGGAACACGGCAGTAGCGGAAAAGTCCTTTGTGTGTGATAAAAGCTGTGAGGTTCCGACTGTTCTCATGCAGTAGAAGTTGGTGGTATGCAGATACTAGATCTATGGTGGAGAAAACATTGGCACCCCTGAATTCACTTAAAAGTTTGTGAGGCAAAGGGTGACTGTCCTTTATTAGGTTCTCTTTAGTCAATACATAGTCTAGGTCTGTCTTCTTTTCTTGTAACCACAATAGGAGAAATCCAGGTTGAAGCATCGATGTGTTCGATAATGCCCTCCTTCAGAAGTAGACCCATCTCTTCTCACTGCAAATGGAGTTTTTGCTGAACTGGGACTTTTTTGCTGAACTGCATCCTCACGAACTTTTTTGCTGAACTGCATCCTCACGAACTGCATCCTCACGTACTTTAACTTTGTGCACAAACCCAGCAACGCAGCCAATAGAAACAGAGTCTGTTTTTGATAGCAATCCAGGTGGAGCAGAAGAAGCATGTTCAGGAGGTGGAACATGGAATGAATTGTGGTTAATTGTCCATTTCAGTGCTTTTATTAGGTCCATTCCAAGTAATGCAGATCCTCCTTGAACCACATACAAAGAAGCAGGAGCTTCCAAATATCCTATTGCAGGAATGTCCTCTTTCAAATAAGAGACTAATTTCACATGAGGTGCAGTTAGACGACTTTCAGAAAAATGTCTGTTGATCCTGATGATCCTGTATCAATCGGTAATCCACAGTCAGTAGACTCCCCTTACGCAGCTGTAATGTTCACTTTGCAAAGCAGTCCATCGGTAGTATTAACTTCTTTTGCGGTCAACATGAGCACAACCACTTCAGGCATTACTTCTCTAACTTGTTTAGCTGAGCGGCAAACTTTAGAAAAATGTCCAGCTGTTGCATTTGCTGCGCTGCAGGACAGTCTTGTGTATTTGTCGGGTGATTTGTCAATCCACAGCTATAACAGGCTTGCGCTGTCTGCTGTACTGTGTGTAACTGGGTCTATATTAATAGTTATATAAAATGTTTTCTTTAATGCATTTGTCCGTTTGCACCTCATTGTTCTTGTGTTCCTCTCCCTTTTGTTACTCGAACATCTTTGGCCACGTAGAAAACAGAACTGTCGGTTCTCCACTG